GAGGGTTGATATGTTGAGGGTTGTTAACCAATGTCATAAAACAACATGTGTACTACTGTTTCATGAGAAACTATTTGTTCTGTAAGCCTTCACCTAAAGTACAATAAAAAAAAAAAAAAAAAAAAAAGTTCCCTATGACTGAACCCAAACATTGTTCAGAAGCAGGATTCCAGCAAACTGAACTATTGCTAATTCTAATTATTGTTCTATCACTGATGCTGAGGAAGTCCTGCCTTTCTCTGTAACTAGTTCCCATTTCTAGGCTGATGGAGCCCTGCATAAACAGAGAAGTTAGTGTAGAGGCATATGTCAAAGAAAACTATTTTAAACAGCTCTTTGGAAAATGGCATCTCTTCTCAGCCCTCAACTTTCCCCCATACGAATCTATCCTGCACTAAGAGTAGAGATGGAGAGGCTGACGTCATTTCAAAGTCCTGACAGCCCCAAAAGATACATACCACAGGCAAATCTCCATCATCTTCCTCTTCCTCCTTCTCCGGTTTAGTGGTGGAGATAGCTGTCCAGCTCACATCATCATCCACAATCCGCATTCTAAATGTGAAAAACAAAGGATAAAAGAGGAGAACTCATTCTTGGATAACAGCATAAGAGCACTTATCCACTGGTTTTAGGAATAAAGTTCAAAATCCTACACAATCCTGCGTGACCCAGCCTTTACCTATATGGTCAACTTCATCTCATACTGCTGCCCCCTCAGTTCACTACCTCACTAGTGCCTGAAATGAGGCAAATTTCTTACACTAGTTTTCAGATACACAGTTCTCTCTGTCTCATCTGCTCTTCTCCCCATTCTTTACCAGAAAACCTCTTACTCATTCTTCAGGTCCTAACATAAATATAAATTCCTTAGGCATACCTTCCTTGACTGGCCCTCTCCCGTAAGTCTAAGAACCCCTGTTACATACACAGAGAATACTTTCACTGCATTTATCACAAAGGAAATGAATCAATTTATTGTGTAAATAGTTGTTTAAGGCCTGTATCTCCATTAAACTGTAAGCCCCATCAGAATAGGGACTATGTCTTTCCTGTTCACAAAGGTATTATCAACACCCTGCAGTAACTGGCATAGGGACTATTCAGTAAGTGGTTGTTACATGGATGAACTGTAGATGATACAAAATAACATTAACTGCCATCATGTGAATAATTATTATTTGAAAAGTCAGTGATACTTTATATTATCATCTCTAATCACAACAGAGTACCTGGGAAGTACTAACAACAGTTAATGTGCTCAGCTGTTAACCAAAAGGTTGGAAGTCCGACTGGCCAGAGTCTATCCAGAGGTTACTTAGAAGAAAGGCCCAGTGATCTGCATCCAAAAAATCAGCCATTGAAAACCTTACTGAGCACAGTTCTACTCTGACACACATGGGGTTGCCATGAGTAGGAATCAACTCCATGGCAGCTGATTTTTTTAAATCACAAAAACCATTTAATATAAGCAGTATTATTTAGTATTATTCCCATTTTCAAGATGAGGAAACTCAGATTCAGAGAAATTAAATATCTTGCCCAAGGCCACACAGCCTATAAAGTGGCACGGGTAAAATTCAAACTCTGAACAACGTTGCTCCAAAGCTAAGCTATTTTCACTACATCGCACTGCCTCCAAGGAATCCACCCAAAAGAGAGAGCTAGACAAGCTGAAAGCAAAAAAAAAGTCAAGAACCAAACCAGGAAGGAAAATGGACTAGTTGCTTGAAACTCTTTGGCTTGACTGGGCTACAAAAGTTTCGTTTGTAAAATGGTGATAATAACAATAACTACTTCACGATAGTGTTGTGAAGCTTAAGTAAGTTCATATATGTGAAAAGTACCTAGAACGGTGCCTGGCACATGGTAAGAACCGTATAAATGTTAGTTGTTGTCAGTAGTAATAGTAGCAGTAGTGACCAGGGGTCTCCGACTCAGGATCAGAGAGTTCTTGGGACTTCTGGGAACCCCCACAGGCAGGTTCAGGACGCTAAAAATCCAAGCACCAAGGCAATGAATTAGCTCCACCATCATTCTGAGGGCACAATATTCATTCACTACGGAGAGGTCGGAAGGCTACAAAGGCGGGAAAAGTCATGAAAGTTAAAGCCTAGCTTCAACAACTGATGCTGCTCAGCAGCGCGAAGGGTAAAGTGCGGCAGCCATAGCAAGCCAGGGCCCTGGGGCGTTCCGAGTCGGGCCCTGAGCTTAGGCTGAAGTCGGACGAGCTGAGCAGACGGAGAAGGATCCAGCCCCAGCAAGGAGAGAACGAAGACCTAGGAGACGGACGGCGGAGAGCCGCCACAGGCCCCGCCCCCGCCGGTACCGACTCACCCCTTGCCGGCGACCCCTCCAGGCTTCGGCCGCTTTTTGCGACGCTTGCGACCGGATTCGGGGACTCCGTCGACGCCGAGGTCTGCCCCAGACAAGTAACGCTTCAGATACTCGGCCTTCGAGAGCGGCGGAGCTGCCGCCATGGCAGCGGCGTAGGCGGGGAGACGGGTCGGCGCTGGGGACAAAATTCTGGAACGCGAAACGGATGGCAGTGACTTGAGGAGGTGCGGCTAGAACCGGAATTGGCGGAGTGTTTGGAACGGCCGAGGCTAACAGGTGAGGCCCCATGGATGACACATTTGCAGACTAACGAGAAGTGTAGACACCTCCAGGGCCCACTCTACATACCTGTGAGGACGCAACCGTGTTGCTTCTGTGTCCATCCATAAATTCACCAAACTTTGCAGCAAGCGCTGTTCTAGCCTTGAGGCTACAACCACGACCCAACAAGGTCCCTGCCCCCAGCAGCTTCAAAAGCACCACAGGTAGTGGTTAACACAGTAAATACAGTGTATTTAAGTTTGAATCCTGGCTCCGTAACTTCCTAGTTGTAAAACCTAGGCAAGTTATTTAACAAAATGGGGACAATAATAGTACTTAATCATGATGATTGCGAGGTCTGAGATGTTAGTTACTGTGTAAAGTGCTTTAACAGCCTCTAATGCAGTTACCAATATAGTTTAGTATTATAAGTATCTTTAGGTGGGGAGAAATTTACTCTTAACAAGCTTTCAGGTACCATTAAGAGAGGAAAGCAAGAACTTCAGACCCAGTATGTTATTAGTCAAGCGGATTTCAGCTCATGGTGACGCCACGTGTGCACAGTAGAACTGCTCCACAGGGGTTTCAAGGCTATGACCTTTTCAGAACCAGACTGCTAGGCTTGTCTCCTGAGGTGCCTCTGGGTGGGTTCAAACTGCTTATCTTTCCACAAGTAGTCTAGCATTTAACTGTCTGCACCACCCAGGGACTCCTAGACCCAGTATAATTCCTATGAAAAATATGGAGGTTTCTAAAATCTGTGTGACTTCCCCACAGTCAACATCATTGGTAGGACCTAGCTATCTCTTGAAGGAAATTGTGTAAAGTCTTTCCAGTGAAAAAGACCTGGACCTATTTTCAGCACAACTAAAGAAGAAAGCTAGTGAGATCAAATTCTAATACTCAAGTCTTGAGGGGGTGGGAGAAAAGACTGTCATCATGGAGGTGTTAAGAGCCTTACTTGAATTACGTCATTTAACCCTCACAACTATTCTCAGATAGTTTATTACACTTATTTTACAGATGAGGAAACAGAAGCTTGGAGAGGTCAAGGAAGTTGCCCATTATCACACAGTGAAAAGGTGGCAACGACAGGATTCAAACCCAAGCCGCATGACTTCTGGGAGCAGGGGCTAGTAAAGTGGGGTACAAGAGGTAATCCAAACTTTTTGAAATAAAATAATAGACTTCGTATTTTCTTTTTATCTTACACATAAGGTAAATTTTTGTCGCTGTTTTATTTAGTCAAGTAGGCATTGTTATGCTTTATAACTACATATAGATTGGGATAGATGTTCAAACTTTGTTGTTGTTGTCATCCAGTCAACTCCGACTCATGGCGACTTTAAGTATAACAGAACAAACATTGCCCAGCCCTGTGCCATCTTCATGAGCACTGGCATGAGTCCATTGTTGCAGCTATTGTGTCAATCCATCTCATTGAGGGTTTCCTTTGTTTACCAAATATAATGTCCTTTTCTAGCAACTGATCTTTCCTTATGATATGTCCAAAGTAAGCAAGCCAAAGTCTTGCCATCCTTGCTTCTAACGAGCATTGTGGTTGTACTTCTTGCAAGATCACTGCTCTGAAGCATGAACTTTTAACCACTGGGCTACACTGAGTGGTTGCAGCATGGGCCCGGAAAGGAAAACAGGCTAGGTCCCTGAGGGGTTGTGAGGAGACACTGGACTGAGAAGCTAGGGCATCACTAGCTAGAGGTCCCCACAGGTCCCTCATATGCAATGCTGCCTTGGCTTCTAGTCTAGTTGGTGTCTCAAACGAACTCTACAGCCCTGCCTCCACCTTGATGTCAGCAGGCATTTGAAAAGGCTCACATTTTCGATCGAGTCGACATTACCATATAGCCCTCTTGGGCCCTGTCAACCCATCTCCTGACCATCTGGCTTCTTCAGTTCTACCACTACCCATTCTACCCAATCCTCAACCTTAGCCTGTCAAGACCCAACCTCAGGTGCATCCCAACCCTGTCTGCCTCACAGGGCAGTTAGGCAGGGTCAGGTGAATGCATGTCTGGTGGCATGGTCTGAGCTTTGCCCTCTCGCTGCAGTTGCATTTAATAAAAAAAAAAAATTATGGACATGAGCGCAAAATATTGGGAGCTCAGGTTTCACAGGCAGATTGGCCTGGGTTTGAAGCCTGCCTCTTAGCTTTACTTCCTTCTGGAAGTTATCTAACCTCCCTGAAACTGTTTCCTTGCCTGTAAAGTGGGGATAATTTTTTTTTTATATAGCTACTTTTTCCCAGGAAGAACTTAAAGCAAAAATGGAGACATTTCAGAATTTTTGTGAGGATTAATGAGAGAAAATATAAAAGGCATTTCACAATTATTACCTCGCCTAATTCTCAAAAGCCCCTACAAAGAAGGTACCATTATTATCCCCATTTTACAGACCAGGAAACCGAAGCAGTAGATGTGCCAATACTAACGGGCTTTCTAAACTCTGAAGTAAACACGCAGACTAAGTAGCACTGGCTCGTTCCCCTTCATAGTTAAAAACACTGCCATTTTTCTGTAAAGGGTGGGGGGAAGTGTGCATTTTTTTTAAAAAATAACAATAAAGCCAGTAAACTCACAGAGCCAGAAATTGTGGTTGCCAGGGACTGGGGGGAAGGAGGAATGAGGAGTTATTGTTTAATGGGTATGAAGTTTCCATTTGGGGTGATGAAAAGGTTCTGGAAACAGATAGTGATTTTTAATGTACTTAATGCCACTGAACTGTACACTTAAAAATGGTTAAGATAGTAAATTTTTGTATGTATTTTATTATAACAACAACAAAGAATGAAGTAGTCAAACACCACTGCACTAAATGTAAGTGGACACACCATTCCCTACAATGTGCAATAGGCAAGTGACATACCACAGGTGTATAAAGATGGAAACATACTGATAGTGTTGTAACAACAGAAGTCCTACCCCTCGCCACCAGTGACGCTTTCAGTTAGCGAAGTCAACTACCTTTCATGTTAATTCCCAGAACTCACCACCTCTCTACCACTTACCCCATCACGACGACACAGATACACATTCAATACCTACCTGTATGTTCATTAGGTCTGACGACCAAATATGGCTGTATTTAACATGTTTGAAATATGGTGAAGTAGGCAGAATGCTCTCAAAATAAACTATTCTTTCTTCTTTTAATATAATCACAAAACTTCCCACTTAAATTTTACTCTCATGGCTGTGAAATTAAATCTACATGTTCTTAGGCTGGCAGCTTGACTCTCTAACCTCCCCTGGCGTAGAGCAGAACCCTTCCCTTGTCTTGTTACGTCCATGTTACCTACATGTGCCCAAAAAGTGCTTGATCCAGGAAGGATTCATAACCATCTGCCAAGGACTGTAACAGCTGTTTATTGATCATTTATATGCCATATGCTAGGTAATGTGGGGCAAGACGAAGTTAAACAGATGTACGCTTCCATCTCAGACAGGCTATATGAAATGAGACTGAAAGAGTTCAGGGATACTTTGAGAGAAAGGTGTGCAAATGAAGGATGCCAGGCCTTGGTCCTATCAAACAGCAAGTAGTACCTTAGCTGAGTTATCCCAATCTGGCATCTGGTCCTGTCTCACGGGATATCATTGCCCCATAACTGGTTAAGAGATTGCCTCACGCCAACCCAAACTCAGAAGAGACTGAGTAACAAACCAGAATGCCATTTTTTTCCCTTCACAGTGGGAGATGAAGCTGACACTGGGGCTCATCTTCACAGAGTATATCCATCCCACAGGGCATCACCAAATGATAGACCCGAAGGGTGCCTGGTAGTCAGATTCCCAAGTCAGTTGAAAACACATTTATAGACAATCTCTTAGAGTAGAATACTTGCATATGAGAAATCTCATCAAGGTATTATAGCTTTATTGTTGTAAGAGTGAGTCATTTGCTAACTTTAATCTCCAAATTCTTTAAAAAAAAAAAAACCTTGTGTACAGGTATGGGGGTCAGTCCTGCATGTAAGTAATACACGCCAAAGAATCCAATATAGAGGTTTCTGAAAACAGAACCTTTAGAAACAAATACATTTCAGGAAGACAGAGGAGGCAGAGAGTCCAGATAAGGAATGATCAAAGTGAAAAGGAAACCAGAGGAACAGTATGACAGGAACCAAGGGAAAAGCTGAAAGAGAGGGTGCACTGTCAAATGCGGAGAATAAAAGGTGAGAATATTTTCCAAGTGGAAAACCATTTGTGAACTTTGGGAATAGTTTGATAAAGAAGTGAGAATAGATGTGTGATTGCCAAGCCATCTATAACTGGGCAATTCTTGAAGTTAAGTTTGTAGCACAAAACTTAAGGTTTGAGACAGCATCTCAATCAACTAATAGGTCTTTAATGAGCAAATTACCCTGCAGCCAGCACCGAGGGCATCACCATTTGTGAGACTGCCTGGAGTTAATGGGAAGCTGGAAGCTAGTCAGAGAACACTGGCTGGGGAGTCTAGAGGGCTCACTGGACTGTTAACTTCCAACACAGCTGTAGGCAGCCCTCTCCCTCCCTGGTTGAACCTTAGTTTCCCCATTTGTAATTGAGAGGGTAGGACCAGATGATTTCAAATACCCCACTGGCTCCAATATGCTCCAACCTCAAAGCTTTTGCATTTGCAATCCCCTCTGCCTGGAAATTTCTTTCCCCAGCTATCCACATGGCCCACTCTTTTGCCTCTTCTCAGCTTTGCCTAAATGTCAAGTTAGTTATCACCTTCTTGTTGAGATTTTCTCTGACTTAAAACTATTTGAAATCACACATAAACAACACCTTTCCTGGCAGTACCCACAACGCTTCCCTGCTTTACAGTCCTCCACAACAATAAACACCATCTGTATACTGTTTTACTTATTTATTCACTGTCAGTTTCCCCACTGTCAATTGAATTGTTAACTGAAGCTCCATGAAGGCAGAGGTTTGGTATGCCTGGCACATCACAGGCACTCAAACATCTGTTGAAGGAATCAATGAAATTTCAGCTCCAATCTCAAATTATAGTGACAACATTGGAGAAAATTTTATTCAGGAGTCTGACTTCTAACAGCATGGTATCAAACAAGGACAGAGTAAATACCTAGGCCAACGCTCTCTGAAAACCACCATTTAAATAACTTCTTCACCTGTGCTGGACTCCCTCCCGACAAGGTACCTCTCCGGTTGAAAGTCAGTATTTTATTTACCCAACACCAACTCCCAAACTCCAGCTGTGTCTATATTCCACATTCTCCATTTCCTTGGGTCAAACTTCAGAGTTGTAGCAAAGAGCAGAGAGCATTACGTAGCAGAGAGCATTACGTGGAGGGAGGGTAAAGACTCGACAGAACACGTGGTTAACGGCATGCCCACCGTTCATCTCCAGGTTTCCTCACAGGCTGATTCAAAACTTCCAAAATAAGACCAAGTAACACAACAGGCTTGCACTTGCATCACAAACTGTTGAGAAAGTGTGCCTAAGTCCACCCACCACGGGCAAGGCCTGGTGGGGAGGACCCTTCTCGGCCTTATTACAATAGCAATAAATAACCCTGCAGTGTGACCAGTGCCAGAGGCTGGCCCATGAACCTCCCACTGCTACCGCTGTGGGGCCAGGCCCGTCTCATAGCCCTCCGTCTTCATGTCATTGAGCCCTAACTCCTCGTTTTGGTCAAATGTGCGCGTATAACACTCCACCTTCATCTCCGGATCATCTTCAGGTGCATACACGTTCTGCAGGACCAAGGACAGTCAATCAGTGCTTGTTTTGTCCTGCCACCCCCCACCCCTGGCGGCTTCTGAAGCCCACTTTCCCAAGGCTTAATGAGTTTTAATTCTTTTTCCAATTCCCCACAGCTAGGCTGATCTAGTAGGCAGCAACGAAGTCCACATGGGCTGGTAGGACAGCCCAGTCCCAGGGAGAATCAGGGAACAGTGTGCCTAAAAAACTTTCTAACCGCACCCTCTTCTGAAGAGTGTGGCAATGGTCTTAATCATAGTTCTGACCCATGATAACTGCTCAATAAATGTTTAAGTTATTATCAATCACCAAGATTCTCCCCAGTCAGCTTAGAGTCTCTCAGTTTTCCTATTTGGCCTCTAATTTAAGGTACTATTTCTCCTCAGTCCACAGTCAGATTTGAAGGATGAAAACCCCAGAGCTGGACTTAAAGCCAGGGACAAGAGCTAAGACATAAGAAGAAAGGAGTCTAGGAGTATCTCTTTTCTCTCTTTACATATACTTACAGTCCCTCCCACCTTCCCCTTCTCTCCCTTATGTTCCAATTTCTGCTAAGAGGTTCCCTGATAAAGGGCAGTCCACTTAGAAGCAAGTCTTTTAGTTTCTGGGGAAATGATACATATTCAAGAAAAAGATAAAAAAATATAAAGCCATTAAACACCCAGGAAGGCTTACCATACCTGCAAGTAGCTGTTTCCTGCTGGATCATCCATAATAAAGTGGGCCTTCATGCTACCCTCAATGATCTAAAAGAGAGAGACCATAGCGTGTAAATCTTATATAGCTCCTGGTAGGAAGAGGCTATGTCTGCCAGACAATAACCAACCCAATTTACATTGCAGAATCCTCAAAAGTCTTAACATTGGTAGAAATTAGGTGGCTCTAGAAGTGGAGTGAAATCCTGGGGTGGTGCAAATGGTTAAGCACCGGACTAACCAAAACGTTGGCAGTTCAAACCCATCCAGAGGCACTTTGGAAACCCCGTGGAGCAGTTCTACTCTGTGCACACGGGGTCACCGTGAGTTGGAATCAACTCAACGGCAACTAACAACAATAAAGGCATGGAGTAAGAGGGTCTAAAATAAGGACTGTATGAAAGCTATTTAAGAAGCAATTCCAGCAGCAACAACCAAAAAATGTGTGTGTGGGTATATATGTATGTATGTAGGCACGTATGTGTATACGTATGTATATGTGAGTACATACACACATATATATAGGTGTGTGCATACGTATATATGTGCATGCATGCGACTATAGGAGCCCTGGTGGCGCAGTGGTTAAGAGCTTGGCTGCTAACCAAAAGGTGAGCAGTTCACATCCACCAGCTGCTCCTTGGAAACTCTATGGAACAGTCCTATTCTGTGCTATAGGGTCGCTATGAGTCAGAATTGACTCAACAACAATAGGTTTTTTTTGGATGTGACTATATGCACATATGTTCACATATTTAATCAAGCACATAGGGGGCACAGTTATGAATACTTGTTAGACATAACCACACACCTTGTGGTATTTTTTGAATTTGAAGGTTTAGGACCATAGTCTTGTGGGACATCTCAGTCAACTGGCATATCATAGAGTTCATAAAATTCTGTTGTACATCCTAGTTTGGTGAGTAGTGTCTGAGGTCTTAAAAGCTTGCAAGTGGCCATCTAAGATACAACTATCAGTCTCTACTTGTCCAGAGCAAAAGACAAAGAAGAAAACAAAAGACTCAGAGAAGAAACTAGTCTACAGGACTAATAGTCTACACAAACCATGGCCTCGTCTACCCTGAGACCAGAAGAACTAGACAGCTACCACTACCAACTGTTCTAATCGGCCACAATAGGTGGACCCTAACAGAATAGGAGAAAATGTGGAACAGAAACTCAAATTCCTAAAAAACAAACAAACAAAAAACCCAGACTTACTAGACTGGTTGAGACTGCAGGACTCCCCAAGACTACTGCCCTGAGACACTTTCAAACTTTGAACTGAAACTAACCCGAGGCCACCTTGTAGCTAAATAACAGATTGGCTCACAAAATAATGAATACCACCCGTGAGTACACTGCTACTTAAACAAACAAACAAAAAAAACACCCGTATGAGACCAAACGATCAACAATTACTTTAAAACAAAGATGAGAATGTAAGGGGGCAGGGAAACTAGATTAATGGAAATAGAACAACCAGAACGGAAATAATGAGAATGGTCACACACTATGAAGAATGTAACCAGTGTCACTGAACCATTTGTGTAGAAATTGTTGAATGGGAACCTTACCTGCTGTGTAAACCTTCACCAAAAACACAATATAATTTTTTTTTAAATTGTGATGAAAAATCATCTCCAACCTAGAATTCTATTATCAGTCAACAATCACTCTAGTATAAGGGTAGGATAAAGAAACTCTTAGACGTGTGAGTCCCAAAAATATTACTTCCCAATTACTCTCTCAGGAGACTACTGGAGAAGATGCTCCAACAAAATAAGGGAGAAAACCGAGACAGAAGATGACAAGGGATATCAGAAACCAGAACACTCTCCAACATGATGGGTAACAGAGATGTTTCAAAGACAGGAAGAAGAGGGTAGGCAGCCTCTAGTTCACTGGAGTCCCATAACCACCAGCACTGGCCAGAGTGCTCTCACCTGGTCCAACTTCTGGCTAAACTCCTGCAGCTTCTCTGCCTGGCCAGGACTGGAACTGTCACCCAGCGTGAAAGGGTTCTTGGTCACCTGCAATAAATGGCACAAGTGCTCAGCTTCGGCACAGATTAGGCATCCAAACTGCTACTACACTGGCTGTTTGTTAGGTGTGACCATAAGCCCGGCAGGGGTAGCAGGAGGTGCCTAGTCAGGCAAGCTGGGTCTCCATTTATCCCACACAACCTTTCTGACCAGGCAGCCACTCCTGGAAATCTATGGATCCATCTACCAAGACAACCAGCAATGTTAAACAACAACTATTTTTTTTTTTTTCTTACAAATTGGAGAAGTTCAATTTACACACACAAATGCCTGACAACTGAGAACTGACTAAACTAATTCACCAAGAGGATAAATACATGGGTTAAGTTAACACAGACATATATGTGTGTTGTGGAGTTTTAGGTGTTGAAAGGTCCCACATCTCATTTTACAGTGAAATAAATGATTTACCCAAAACCACAAAGTAACTACAGTCCCACAATTAGGCCTAGGAATTCTCATTAAAAATTGCCCATAAACTTATCTTCTTAATCTAAAATAACATTTAAGCCTCTTAACTCAGCTTTAAGGCAAAAAAATTCCCAGTTATCAGCACCAAAAACTGGGACATTTGAGGTCTTCCAGCCCCCTTCCCACAGCAGAACTACTAGAAGCAGCTGTACACTACACTCAGGTAACTCACCAGCTCCCGGATGTCCTTCAGCAGCCCCTCCAGTGTGGTGAACTTGCCCCCAAGGACAGCCATTCCCAGTTCAAATTCCAGCTCTGGGATTTCCACACTACACGTCTCAGACTGAGAGATGAGAGGGCAAAGGAAGCTTTCCATCAGGAGCAAAGAAAGCTAACCAGAAGCCTCTGCCAAGTTAATACCAGCAGTGAGTTTGGGGACAAAAGTCAGCTGACCCAGTTTCTCCATCTCCCCGGAGTTAAAGCTAGAGATACACTCCTGTCCATGTGAACCACAGAAATGGAACCAACTTAGTAAAGGGAGACTCTGAATCACAGGTCCAAGCTGTCAGGTATCCTGTCAGTAGACACCAGAGAAGAGGGCCCTGTTATAGACACTGGGGGCCAAAAAGCTGCAGAGTCATCAGGAAGAGTTTACAGGTCACCTTTAATTCCAATACCAGATTAACCCTGCTCAAGGATCTTCAAACTCAGGAAGTAGGAGGATACCTCATGTCACCAGGACATTATTTTAAAAAAGAAAAACTATTTCTCCTAGATAGAGACAGGAATATGAGGAGGACAGTCACTTTCAAAGGCATGTATTACCTTGAGGAGGTCTCTGGTCATATCTGAGGGGTCTGTGATGTGAAGGGTGATCCTGGTGCCCAAGGGCTCTACTGCTCCTCCAGACTTCACCTGCACAGAGGACAGTCAGTAGCAGCAGTAGCAGAAAGAAAAGCCTGATCCTCAGCTAGTGCCAGTGATACCTCGAAGGATACGCTTGGACCTCCCATCAGTTAGACCCTGTAAAGGCTACCAAGACAGAGGCTTCTAAACCAATAGGAGCATCAGTCACCCAAACAAAAAACACCAAGAGAAGACCAAGGCTGGAGTGCCCAGAACTGGCAGCCTGCCAAAACTTACCCCAAATTGCCAGGAAACCCTGAATTTACCTTTTAAAAATAAAATTCTGACTCTCAAGGTTGAATGAAACTTTAAGGATTTAGCCCAGCCCTTTCATCAACTGGAAACCCTGGTGGTGTAGTGGTTAAGAGCTACGGCTGCTAACCAAAAGGTCGGCAGTTTGAATCCACCAGGCGCTCCTTGGAAACTCTATGGGGCAGTTCTACTCTGCCCTATAGGGTTGCTATGAGTCGGAATTGACTCAACGGCAAATGCTTTGGTTTTCTGGTTTGGTTTCAACAACTGCATCTAATGTGTGGATCCCCTTTATAATATCTACGTTACTGTAAGACGTTAACCAACCTGTGCTTGAATATGCTTGGGGGAAGGGAATTTACAATCCTCCAAGGCAGTTCATTATATTTTAAGAGCTCTAGCTGCTAGAAAGTTCTTTATTACAGAGTCAAAATCTGCCCTCCCCCCCAACCCCCTGAAGACGGGGGCCAAAGTCTTCTCTCTCTTCCACATAACTGACTCAAGTCTTAAACGAGTTATGATGCCTCTAACTTTTCTTCTCTAAGCTGACTCCCAGTTCCTTCGAGGGCTCCTCACCCTACACTAAAGCCTAAGAGAAAGACCCAACCCGCCTCCATGTTGAACCACTAGGTTTAGAAAGGATGATGTTAGGAGAGGGTTACCCTTAAGCTAGTCTTCATCCCAAACGACAGTGCCCACCCACCTCATTGGTCCGATCCCCGCAGTTCTCGCAGTTGGTAGCCATGATGATAACCTCCTTAAAGTGGGGGATTTCTGGAAGATGGAGTCAAGGAAATCTGCTTCCAGGAGAGCAAGACCACCCTCAGGAGAAGAACAAATCCAAACCCCAAACAAACAGTTGCTGGTTCTAGAACTGCCAGAAAATATATCACAAAAAGCAGCCTAACACGCACACTCCTCCGGATGAGAGCGATTTCCCAACCCATGGTGATCCCTGTTCACAAACATTTGAAGATGTGGCTCAGGCCACACACAGAAGCCTCAAGAACACAGTCTAATTCTCTCTTTGGAAGGTGCACAGTCTTGTCAAAGGCATCAGAATGGAACATGTGCTCTCCTTGAAGGGAGTGCTCCCAGCCTGAATGTCATCTCCATGCCTGAGCCAGAGAAGAAACAACCCAACTGCCTGACGAAAGATACGTACTAGCTTCATGTTGGTCTGAGCTGGAGCATTGCATTCCGGGCAGTTTGTGTTGAACTGTAGAACCTGGAAAACAATTTGGGGACACAGAGTGAGTCCAGACGGGATGCTCAGTCTAAGGACATTCACGCTGGTTCCCATGTTGTGGTGAGGGAGAGAGCCACTGAGAAGAATCAGTCTCAGCCTACAACTCTGCTCCTTCCTCAACAATATCCAACGTGACTCACTTCATTTCTGAGATCATCTTCTTCTGGCTTCTCTTCTGGTGCCTCTGCCTAAAATATCAGAAATGTGAATCACAAGTTGGCAGGTATGCCTCAGCCTCCCCAACACCATGCCCCGGAGTGGGAGAAAATGCTCTGGTTTGCTTACATCACACACTACCTCATGGGTCTGACAGAGAAGGTGTCAAAGCCCTAGTCAAGGGAAGAACAGAACTCAAGACTGAGTCCCAGCCACTGGCATCCTTTACCATGAGATTTACTCTAAGTCTTCGACATGAGCTAGATGAGAGGCACAGACATGCTGAGATAGAGCATACAGGGCATTAGCAGCAAAATAAGTTTCCACTGACTCCAAGCAATCCAGGGTGTGAGATCATTTCAGGGTGTTCTGGCTCCTTCCATCCACTTACCTGAAGTCCCAGCATCTCCTCCTGCTTGGAAGTCCGGTTATAGTGTGTGATCACCAGGGCTTCATCTTTCTGGGGAGCAAATGGGTTTTCCACAAAGCTGTTCCCTGAGGGATCATCAATGATCTAGCAGATGAGTGAGGAGAGAGTAAATCCAACAAGAGATCATATAAGGTCTTCCATCTTCCATCAGGCACCACAGTGGAAAAAACCTCAATCTTAATGGTCTGTCTTCCCCCCAAATCTAGGGCAACTACAATTCCTCAACACTTACCAGAGTGAAAGGGGAAGCCACTTGCTTTAGCTCCTGTAGTTTGACAATGAACTCATCAATTCTTTCAGCTATGGTTTCTTCACTTGCCTGTCATGAAACGAGAGTAGAATCATCAGCCCTGGCGGTACTCCTCCCACCGTGTCACACCCTTGTCACTTCCAGCCCTGTCTTAGCCTGAGAGGGAACAGAGTGACTCAGACTTCACAATGAGATGTAGCAAACAAGTCTGACATTTATGGGTGGTGCCAGGTGACCCCCATTTCCTCTCATTCAACCATTTAGCCCTGGCACTTGTGCTGGGTTAGGGGCACAACAGTAAATAGAGCACAGTCCTGTCAAGGGCTCCCCAGCTAATTGGGAAGACAAATGACTAAATATGCAATTATGATATGCTGTTTTTGTCATAATAAATATGATACAATGGAATACTCAGGAAGCACAGATAGCCTAAGGGGATTAGAAAAGGCTCTTCAGAGATCATGTCACACTGGCTATCTGAGATGAGACTTGAATACACATTAAGGAGGAAGGGACAGTAGGAACAACATATGCTGGCAGCTACAGCATCACCATATGCTTCCTCAAAAAGTTTTCACACATTCAAGTCAGCTACATGGAAAGCTGAACACTGATTCAGACACATATAAAAAATTATTCCTTGAGCTGCTGCCATCGGAAAACCCCAACTCACCCTTCGCATAGGCTGGTCCTGCTCCAGGCCAGAGATAGCACGGTTGATCAATCCTTCAACAGTGGTCAGAGCTTGTGAACAAGAATAAAAGGTAGGTGAGTCTTGGCTCTGCTGTCATGTTCCTGAATGACCCTAGACAATTCACTTGAACTCTCTGGGCCTTGATTTTCTCACTTGTAAATGAAAGGAGGCCAGGTTCAAGGTTCCATTCATCTCAAATAACAGTAATAATACAATTGTGCAATAAGCACACCTCGGTCTTACTTTCTATTGCGTCAGGCTGTTTTACCTAAACTTTCCACTCATGTTAAACCAATCAAGTTCACAATGATTACCTAGCCAAGTTCACAAAGATTCCAGGTAGGTGTGAAATACTCTAATCTTAAACTTACCTCCCTTCTGGCTGAAAGCGGGAATTTCAAAATCCAGCTCAGGGATCCTTGTGGTGGCAGACTCAGTCTTCACCACTTCTCTGTTCATGTCCTGGGCAGAAAGGAAAACTTTCAGCCAAGAGAGGTCAGCAGTACAGCTTCTCCTCAGGAAATAACCAGATTGCCCCCCTCCATCAGGCCCCAGCCCAGCTGTTTCTTCTTCTCTCCACTTCAAGGAGTCGAGACTACTGCGATAGTCCAGGTAGTGAGTGCCAGGCTGCCCAAATAATGAGTATACTACTCAAAGCAACTACTGCACATTTCCTACCCTCTGATAATTTTCATAAATCTAATCTCACCTAGGAGAATGATAGCACCATTTTACAATAGAGGAAACTGAAGCTTGGAGACATAGGGGGATTTGAGGTTTCACCATCTGGATCAAAGCTCTGACTGCAGTCCCCAAGCTTTGGGCTCCTCTCACCTCCTGGGCCCTGACGGTCAAAGTATAGCGAACTCCCTGGTCCTGGATCCTGCCTGCCGACTGGATCTCCGTGTTATTCCAGCCACAGTGCTCGCAGGAAAACGAGCTTACGATTATTTCTCTGAAGAAAGGGATCTTGGTGAGCAGGAGGCGCGTCACGCCCTGGGGAAGGAGAAAGCAACGAAGGAAGTAATCGATGAAACCTCCGTTCCCAGTCCTACAGGCCCCCGGACGCACCTCCCGGTTCCCGACTGGGCCCACCCGACCGCGCCTGCGGCCGCGCCCCCATCTTACGTTGCGGTAACAATTCATGCACAGCGACTCGATCTCGGTGGGTTGCTGCTCCTCGTCCTCGGCGCTGATGGGCCGGAATAAGTTTCCTGAGGCAGGAGCCCGGACCCGGGCGGGCGATGGGGCGGCGGGAGCCGCCGGGGTCCCCGGCTCTAGAGCCCCTTCGGCCAACATCGTGGCCGCGCGCAGCTCACACGTCGGCTTCCGGCTTCCGCCCCTCTCTTGGCCCCACCCCCTTCCTCTGACACTTCCGCCACTTATGACCCCGCCCTTTCTTAAAGAGGCCGCAGACTTTGGGCCCTCGGTGGACCGTGTCTGTGAAGGTTTTCTGGTTCTTGGGACTTCCATAGCCAGCCCGATTCAGTATTTGCCTCTACGTTAATTCAGGCGTCACTTCCCCTAGAATGTCCTCTCAAACCCAGGCAGTTATTTTGCGCCCTCACAATAGCTTCCACCCACAAAACCAAAGCCCGTTGCCGTGGAGTCAATTCCAACTCATAGTGACCCTAAAGGACAGAGTAGAACCGCCCCATAGAGTTTCCAAGCAGCGACTGGTGGACTCAAACTGCCAACTTTTGGGTTAGCAGCCAAGTTCTTAACCACTACGCCACCAGGGCTCTCCTTCACCCACAGGGTTCTATAAATCTGTCTGCCAGAGCCTCGAGGACAACGGGCCTGGCTGGTCCCTCAGTGTCCCTGAGGAGGTGCGCTTAGTTCCACTGCAGCCATGCTGCTTCAGCTCTAGGTCCCCTTCTCTGGCTTTTCTTCCCTTCTCTCAGTCCCTGAACCCCCCTCTCGCTTTCTGTTCTTCCCACTCCCTATTTGTCCCCCTCATAAACACCTCCTCAAATTCCAGCCCCAAATACACAACTCCTATTTTTACTAACCTCCCTCATCCCACCACTTCCAACCCTAGCTGACTCACCCCTCCCCATTTCCTAACTAATTAACAACAACAACAAAAGGCTCTTTTTTTTTTGAAAACATTTCTTTCCAGCGCCTCCTCTCCTGGACTGGGCCCACAACCCAGTGTTGTAGCTGAAAGTAGCTAAATCCAGGGTGTCAGCAAAGAGGTTGAACCTGTGGGCATGATGGCCCAGATTCATGTGGGGTCTGCTATGAGGGTTTGGGGAGGTGCTGAGACCCCTGTTCAAAGGTACTAAACAGGACATTCTGAAGAGAAAGAGGCTGGTGCTGTGTGGCAACCGTTTCCTCTGTCCCCTCACCGCCAATTCCAGAGGTCCCAGAAGGACCTATGAGGAGCTTTGGTACCCCTGAGCAGATGTATATATTGGTGGTGGGGGGGGGGTGGTTTGAGGGTTAGGGGGTTCTTAAGAAGTGGGTTGTCACTAAGAGACCATTCAAAGTCTGGAACAGAAGGAACAAAGGAGACAAGCCACCTCAGGAGTCTCGGTCTTCCAAGACCACAGTCCCTCAGGTGACAGCTGCACTTTATGCACGCCATCCTATGGCAAGCAGGCCGGGAACAATGCAGGTACAGAGGAAGGTTCTCTAGCCCAGGCCCACCCCCAGTCCATGGCAGACAGCTGTATCTAGCCAGAGAACCCATAAGCAGAGCCTCGCCAGAGGCAGGCCTCTCTGACAGACCTGGACTAGAGAGGGTCAATGAGAAAGTGCAGCAAGAAATTGGAGTGGGTGATGGGTGTACACTGGGGATACTCGTGAGGTCACTGCTTTCCATCATGGTACAAATGAGAGCCATGCCAAGCAAACAAGCTTCCATCATAAGCATCTATTTCATTAGACTTAGAAGACTAGTTTCAGCCTGGAAGTCACATGGGAGTGGGTGGGAGTGGGGAGGGCACACAGCCTGCTCCCCAGAGGGTTTAAGAAGCACCCCTCCCCCACCCCAGTTTAGAGGGCTCAGTCAGGACCTGTCTGCCCCCTCCTATTATATCCCCCACCATTCCTACACACCAGCCTCAGAGCCAGCAGGAATAACACACACACTCACACACACACACACACACACACACACACACACACTCTCTCTCTCTCTCTCTCTCTCTCTCTCTGTCTCTCCCCTTCATATTTTCCTCTTTTCTCCCTTCTATTCTCCCAACAGAAGGTGTCATGGCAGCCATGGGGAGAAAGAGCTCCTCTCTCTGGACCATCTGGAGCAGGGGCCACAAGTTGACCAGAAGTGACCGGAGCCAAGCACAGGGATGAAGTGGCATAGGCTTCCAGCATAATCACAAGGGACTTGCAGATAATGACCTGCACACACAGTGTCTCTCTCACATCCCCATTCCCACCACCCCTGACTGAAGGAACTCATGAGGATTCCCAAATGACCACCGGAAGCTGGTTTGTAAAGCCTGGTGAGTGTAATGCATCCGGATGGGGGAGCCGCAGTAGGATGGGTATGCCTGTGCAGCAGCCTTTTCATGGCCTCGCTGCTCAGGATCCTTCACCCTCCTCCGCCAACAGGCCACCGTCAGGACTAAGCATGCTAGGGGCTCAGGTCCAGGGCTCCCAGACTGAGAGCTGGGGAGTGGACCTGGGCAAGCAGACCCTCAGGACTCCCCTAGATGGGCATGGCCCTGGTCGTGGAGGCTGTGGTTGATGTCTTCCCACAGGTCGTCGAGACGGGCCTGAAGCTTGCTCAGGGCCTTGCCGCTGTCCGCTTGGGGTAATTCCGGAGCGATGGCAATGTGGCCAGGTGGGAGTGGCGCCAGCTGTTGCTGGACCTCCTCCGTCGCCAGGTCGATGGCGCGGGTGAAAGCCGCTATCTGCCGGAAGGTGTCGTGGCGGAAAGCCTGGAGCCGCTGACGTACCTCCTCGGAGAGCGCTTGCGGGTCGGAGCCAGCCCCCTCCTCTGCCCCATCCTCGCCAGCACTGACAAAGGCACTGAGCTCGTCGCGCAGCTTGTCCAGGTTCTGTTGGATGCCCGCGTGCAGCGTCTTGGCCTTGAGCGTGAGTTTTCGCGAGAGCACCTGCACGCAGCGGCTGAGGCGCGCCGGGCTGGCGGGGGCGTGGGGCACCACGCTGCGATGCAGCTCCTGCACGTGGCGCCCGATGCCCGTCACCAAGCGCTCGGCGTACGGGTGGAAGAGCGCCTTAACACGGCCGGTGTGGTGCGCCACGCGGCTCTGCAGTTCCTGCAGCATGCCCCGAGCCTCGTTCACGCCTCCGAGCAGCTGGGCCTTGGTGTCCTCCCCGACCACGCGCAACTGCTCCTGCAGCTCCTTGGCGCGAAGGGCCACCTGCTCCATCAGCTCCACCGTGTAGGGCTTCAGCTGCTGCCGCAGCTCCTCCAGATTCCAGCCCACGCGCTCATGCACCTCTGCCATGTAAGGCGCCAGGCGTGCCCTCACCTCCTCCAGCTCCGCCTGCAGCTGCTGTCGCATGCCCACTGGATCCTGTGGGAGCTGAGGAGGCTCCCGCCCCTGCCCACTCAGAAGGCCCAGCTTTTCCAGAAACTTGCCCATATTGTTGAGGTCTTGTTCAAGGCTGTCTTTCAGGCTCCTAGGGGAGGGGACAGACATCCAGGCCATCAGACTGCTAGCCTCCAACACCAGTATTATCTCCTTTGCCCCAGAGACATCCGGCACTTATCCTGTGGGGGAAACCAAGGACGTAGGGCTGCAGCCCTAGAGCTGAGGGTCCTAGTCCTAACCCCGGGCTAGCCACACCGCCTCATGCACGCACGGAACAGAACAAACACATCGCGTATGCAAATCCAGGCCTACAGCAGTGCTCAAGGAAGCACAGATGGACCTCGACTCTCACACGACCGCTACTCTGGAGCCTGTGGTGGGGATCTTCTGCCTGATACCAGGTCCCACGCTTCAGTGGGCAAGGGGACGGCAGCCCTAGCGAAGTCAAGGCTGAGGCTGCAGGCAGAGGGCGCAGAAGAGCCCAGGACAGCCGGGATAGGCGGGCAAGGCTAGCACCGCTCCGGACCAGGTACGGTGAGGACCGCCGAAGTTGAGGAATTAGAGTCAGCGCATCATCCCCTTGGTTCGGTTCGTCTGCACCCCTTTCCCTAGCCACTCACGCAGGCTCCCGCGCCAGCTTCTGCTGCTGAATCTGCTCTACCCTGTCTTTGTCCCCGCTGCTCTGCCTGAAGTAGTCCCAGAAGCCTTTCTGTGTCTGGGCAGCTGAAGACGCTGTGGAGAGAGAGGGGGTGATTAGCAGCTGGGTTCTCCTTCCCCAGGTGTACTGCCCCTCTGTCCCGCCTACACCCCAACCCCCACATTGCAGCTAGGGTTGGAGACCCACCTGAGAGGAGGGCAATAGCCCAGATCAGAACTGCAGCCTGGGTCGTCATTATCCACTCTGAGAAGGAAGGTGAATGGACGCCTGGTAGAAGTGAAGGCACAAAGGGAGGGATGTCTGTCACAGTGACTGGCCTAGGAACCCTGCCTAAAACCCTGTTAACCCTTCCTTGGCCCTCCAGAGGACTGGCCTAGGTGAGTGTGGCTGTGAGGGAAGGGATATCTTTCTCAGATTTGGGGGGGGGGGAGGGTTGGGACAGGGTGTTACTCCTTTTTCACCTCAGTCACAGTGTGTGTGAGTGTGGAGCTCAAACGACTTTGGAAAAGTTCTCCCACCACCACCCTCCCCAAGCCCCTGGAGAGCTCCCTAGGTCACTCTGCCACACTCCCTCATCACCTAGCCTCGCATTTCATGGTTGGGAAAACTGAGGCATACCGAGAGAGGAGAAGCAATGCTGCTAAAGTGCTCCAAGAGCTCCAAGAGGTTGTCCTCACTTCTTCTTTCCACCTCCAGCTCTCTGCTGAGGACTCCGACCCCCACCCTGCTGCCTGGCTGCTCACCTGCTCAGTGCTGGGCACAAAGAGCAGACATTCCGCTTTATACTCCCGGAACCTGGGCCTCTGGCAACAACTGCTCTGAGTAAATACCACGTGGAGGTTCAAAGAAGGTTGACCTCAGCTGCCATCCAGCACTCACCTCCTGCCCTTTTCCTGGCACCCAGAGGGTTAACAAGTGTCCTGGTATCAGGAGGCTGCCCCAGTAGAGAAGTGCTTCCTGGAAAGTTTTACTAGGAGTGGAATTGAACCCCTCACCCAGTTCCCCCCAAACCCTATGACCTTCAGATTCAACCTTCCCACTAGCCTGCGGGCTGGCCCACCAGTAGAGACAAGCTTGTTTGTCTGCTGAGGGCTCAGCTCTTACTCAACTGCCCTGAGTTGCTGTGCCCCAGACAGACAGAGACGGTGTCCAGCTGC